TGTCTACCTGCATTATGTGAAGGCTTTAATTAACACCAAAGACTCTGCCCTCCCTTTAAAGGTATTTAAGTGACTCTCGCTTATTACATGTTGGGTATGTTGGCTGTAAATAAAATAACGTCAGGGAATTCTTTGTACTTTTAAAAACACTGCTGACAGGTTGATCCACCAGAGCAGGTGCAATCAAATCAACAGGAGGGAGAGAAAGTGTCGATCAAACACCGATTATCTACGTCTGCACTGAGAGGAGATCTGAGTGTGTCTTTAAGTAATCATGATTTTACATACCACATTTTTATTTTTGCATTTCACCTGCACAAAGGCAGAGTCTGCAGCATTTTCCAAAAAGATAAATTACAGACTTTATACAAAAGTAAAGCTGCTCACTCATCCCTTCTGGGCTTCCATACATGTGTGCTGGGGACTGTGTCTGCAGAGAGCCTGTGCTCTGACTGGATTTTCACGCGTTGGTTTGTTTTGGTCGACCCGGGACGTTTCTAGGCGGGGAGCTGGTGAGTTTCCTCCAGCCAGTGACAACGTTTGGGAGCGGATACAGTTCAGAGATTTGATAAGTGAATCAAACTTATATCACGGATATCACGAATGTAGAAAAGAAAATATATACCAAGCGGGTTGTCGTTCCGGAGTTGGCCTGCAGGTGCCAAACACCGACGTTACCTTGTCGACGTCACAGGCGTTCTTTTCCAAATGTATGATAATCCCTGTATTTTTTCCGCCTATGGATAATGTCTTGTACCCACATCCTTTGCACCCTGTTTGATCAGCTGATCTGAGAAATGATCTCTAAAAAAAAAAACATGCATTAAAAAGCAGTGGAGCAGTGTCGGCCATACAGCGACTGTTGTTACAGACTGTTGTCATAGAGACAGACGGATGTGCAGCGCCTGACGCTTTTATTTCCTGTCATGTGATGTCCTCGTCATCTTCTTCTCCTCTATTTTTATATTGTTTTCATCTTGTTGACTTTTTTAATCTCTGAATTAATTCCTTTAAACTGTATTACCTTACAGCTTTAACCACCTTCTGCTGTTTCTTTCTTATCACTAGTACTTACATTTATATTATTTAGTACTCTCTATTGTCTATTGTTGTTATTAAGCTATAGACATTGCCTAGCAACCGGTTTTATCATTCTGAAGAACATTCCCCGATGGAGCTTTAAATGTGAAACGGGTTTAAAACTAGCAAGCCACGAGAATTTATGACAATTTATTGAAGGATTTATGGATTTATGGTGTAAAAAAAAAAAAAACCTTACATGTTCTGTTTCCTGTCCTCCGTGACCTTGTAGGAAACACACACACACACACACACACACACACACACACAAGTACACACCAAATACACACACACACTCACACACACAAACCTCATGATCTCTACAGAGTTAAATCTTCCTGCTGTATATAAGGTAGCTTCAGGACACTTATTTACAATGGAGTGTTGGATGCTACCAGGCGGTAATATGCTAACATACGCTAACACAAGCTAACAGCTAACACAAACCAAACAGAAACTTACGAGAAACTTGTTTTCATTATTGGACTGAGCAGAGCTTTTGTAGTCTTTAGTGTGTGTGTATGTATATGTGTGTATGTGTGTGTGTGTTCTAGATTACATGTATTAAGTGTGTGTGTGTGTGTGTGTGTGTGTGTGTGTGTGTGTGTGTGTGTGTGTGTGTGTGTGTGTGTGTGTGTGTATGTATGTGTTTAAGTGTGTGAGTCATTCGTTCCTGGGAGTTGCAGGGCTTTTTCCAACAGCAAAAAGTGATCCCACCCTGGATGCTGCACACCCACCCACCCACAAATCCACGCAATAAGACACACACACACACACACACACACACACACACACACACACACACACACACACACACACACACACACACACACACACACACACACACACACACACACACACACACAATAAT